CTTTGAAAGGGGAAATGGTGGGGAAAGGCGCTCTAGAAATTCTTGAAGACCGTGATTAATATCATGCTTTGAGCCTACTGTAAACTGGAACCAGTAAAGGTTTCCGTCATGGACAACGAATGAGTCGATTGCCACCTGATTTTCCAACCGTGGCACATAGTATACTAGCTCCTTATGCTCAAGTGGTCCAGAAGACTCGTATTCAATCACCTCTGTTGGAGAAATAGAGAGAGATGGTCCCTGGATATTTAGGACCGATCCAAGAGCCTTCTGCAGTGTTGGCTGGCCAGAGAAATCACCAAATGGAGCGTGCCATCTAGATCGTTTGTCCGAGGCTCGTATCATAAGGATAGCCTTCAGTCGGATGTATTTACTGAAGACCTGTTGGAAATGTGCTTCGAAAAGTAAACCTGCCATCCCGCCAGGTACCCGGGAGAAGTGTACCAGCAAGTCGGTGATTTCTTTCTGTCTCGCTTCCCAAAGTCTCGCACGAAGTCGACGAGCGACGACACGGGTCATAGGCTGGATAGTCGACGAGTATATGTTATTGGGTTTGTCACGCCGTACAAGGAAGAGCGTGTGTGAAACTTCTCCTATAGGTAAAGTTTGGCTGTTCTCCGTCAGCTTCTTGAGTAATTCCAGAGAATCGACATTCTTGATTCGGCTATTGCGTTCATTGTACCATTGAACCATTTGGTCGGGATCCTTCATAAAGCAAATACGAGGAATCGGGCCCGCGTTGTTGAAACGCTCTTGTATCGTACTGATAGGGAGACTAGCATATAGTTTCTCTGCTCTGTGGATCATGTTCAAATTGTTTATCAAATTATAAATACAAATACCACTCACGTTTTTTTTATTTCTTCCCAGGTCCATGGATTCATGACGAGTCGAGATGGGTATCGAGACTGGTGGAGCGGTTTCCATCGTTTCTCGTCGGGGGAGGCGATATAAATAGGGAAGAGACAAGCAGAATGACCAAATTCTGAGATCGGAAAGGTTTTGGCATAGATCGAATCCACTAGGCACCATGTGAATTCTTTAACAGGTTGATACCTTCCAGGATTAATGTTCTGGACACCATCGTCGCCGAATAAATAAAAGGCCCTGCGCTGATACCAGACAACCGGCTGCTGCCTGCCTAAACAACGGCGCAGTGCATAATAGGCCCAATAAGATTTACCTTGTGAAGAGTTAACAGAACGCCCTAAACGAGAGTATGCAAGAAAAATTTCACCGATTCCTGGCTGTCCAGTCACGACAACACTGTTTCCAGGATAGTTCCGATGTATAGCTTCCACTTTATCGAATAGACGAACATATTCAGCACGGACGAACAATTGTGGCTTCATGTCCACAAGAAAAGGTTCCGTGAAGATATGGTCCTTTGTTTGATCGTCGAAATTATCTTCCCAGAGATCAGCACTTTCTGTAATCATGGCTTCGTTTGTCGGTATGGTGGTGAGTGATGGATCCAGAGGCTTTCCCCAGAATTGTTCATGTAAGAGTACTAGATCTATTGGTGGTTCTAGTTGACCTAGTAACATTAGTATGGATATTTTTGGATATGACCCAACACCCGACTTACTTGTGCCTTCTCCGGAACTTCCCTTTTTAGACATCTCGAACGATGTAGGGTTTTCTTTGGACGATATTGCCAGAAGTCCAATGAAAGAAGGTTTCCCACAATCGTGAGAAGAAATGTGTCATAAAAGTTGGATTACAAGCAGAGATTGTAGGCGAGACACAGTGATGATTGGGGGTATAGATGAGCCGAGAAAGGAGACACCGGATGTTAAGAGCAGAGATTACAGACAGGATGTCGTTTTGAATCATCATTAAATCCAGTAGACACAAATGGTGGATTGCAGGAAGTGATTGCGATCATCGGTTGCCAATGCGATGATGGGTCGTTTTTGCCCAGAATAATTGTAAGATAGCAATGATTGTGAAGAATTGGTGAAAAGGCCAATAATCAGCATGGCCACTCAGCTAGTGTCGAACTGGACTGACCGGCATTATTTTCAACGTGGGTTGACTTACCGGACGAGCCAGAGGAGTCGCGTGACGTTGGTACTATTTTCAAGAGAGTTCAAGAGGGGTCACGAATAGCACCCGAGATAGGTGTGACAAACATCAGAAGGTCAGCGGAAATCAATATAAACAAACATAGCCAAACCCATCGTGGAGGGTAAAGAGTCGGACCAAAAAGAGGAATAAATCGGTCAGCCACCAATAAAATGCGACCACTTTGACGAGCTGCCTACCTGAAGGGAGTTCAACAATGATGTGCACCGTCTCTTCCGGAGGAGGGGACGAGTAGATTTGATACAACTTTGTTGAGGACCGGAGTGGCTGTGGGTTCTTTGATATTGCTATTCGCACATTCTCTGCCAAACTAGAATCATCAGGAAGTTTGGTGGAATACAACGTGACTGTAATCCGAGTGCGAGGCGTAGCCCCCGGCATAATGGCCACTTTCACATCGTCTACTGTTGCTGAGGGTGGAGGTTTAACAGAAAACGAAGAATGTGGGTTATCCTTGAGCACGCAAAAGAGGGTGTAAGTATTTTCCTGAGAATCTGCCATGGTTGGCTGGGTCGGGTCGGGTCTGACATGACACCGTGGGCATGGACGGCTCTCAAAACCAGTTTGCCACGTCCAGTTTTTGGCCACTAAAAAGCTCTTGTATTTATGGATGATAGCTAAAGCTTATTATAGAGCCAATCTGACTGAATAATATGCTTGAATATATGGGGGAGAGGTGGCCTTCACTCCAGTCGACAGTCACCTATCTACTTGACCACAAAGTATCCTGATCACAACTCATAGCGTACTCGTAGGCATGAATCGGATAATATTCAGGATTTATATGGCCCTTCGGGCAATTCCTGACCGACGGGTTTTCTAAAGATGATAATGATATTGCACCGCACTCCGGTTATGGTATGCTGGTTGGTAATAAATGAGGAGCCACTTTCATATACAATCGTACCCGCTAGGATACTCTGCGTGGTGGTAGACGTCGAGGAAAGGAGCAAGAAACGGGGACAGTTTGACTAAGTGCTAGCCTACAATATGTGCATACAAACAGCAATGAGCAGATAGGGTGATAGTACCAGCCGAGGGTAAGATATGGCGTGCCTCCGCATCTAAGAATGGCTAATCCAACCCGGTGAGACAATATGTTGGCGTTAAGCAGAGCTGAAGTGAGCAAGGGTGTGCTTGGGTGAAGGCTGAACCAAGATGAGGAGGATGCATCGTATTCCCCATCCAACTTCTGCTATCTTTGAATAGTGAATCCAGAGACATGTTATAACTCACGTACAAGGATACCGGGAAGAGACTGCATTGTACAACGTATTGGCGAACGCCACCACTTTTTGGCCATTAGGCGAGTCTCACTCGAACTCGACGAGAGCGAGGTCGCCAAAGAATACGTCACAAAAGAAATACCAATCAGACCGAGGTAGATGGCAGTTCAATATACACAACTACCAATCAGACTACAGAAAACACGCCAAATCTCAAAACTTGGACAAGACCTAACCTAGTCGGTCAGGAATTTACTTATGGGTAAAGCATGATCGCAATGCATAAATGAGTGCATTTGATATTCGTGGTTGCATATGATGGTAAAGGCATAACGACGTACATGACCCTATAGGGATGCAAAGGTACCGTATCATAGTCGCTAAAATTAAACCTTGAAGCCACGAGATTTTCTTCGTCCACGAGCCCTCTCGAACTGTAGATAGGTTTAGTATCAAAGTCTCGCAGTACTCCGGGGGACTGACCTTGCGACCTTTGGAGATAGTATATGGCTTCTTGTGTTTGTGTGGACCTAATTAAAAGTGAGTTTGTGCATCTCCGAGTATTAAAGGGTTCCATACCCATGCCAAAGTGCTTGACAGCCTCACGAGTGTTCCTCTTGCCTCGTAGAAGCAAGGTGTTTGTGCCAGTAGGAGCTCGCAGAGCCAGCTGGTCCAGAGTCAAAGCTTCACCACCAGCGTTGAGAATGCGCTCCTTTGCGCTGCGAGTAAAACGAAGGGCAGCGACAGTGAGATTGGGAACCTCAAGTAGACGAATATCGTCGGTCACAGTTCCGACGACAACAACAATCTTTCCTTCATTGGTAGGGGAGCAAGCAACTTGCTTCGCGATTCCAGAAAGAGAAACGGGAGGGCGGTTTATTTTGGAGAGGAAGAGACGCTTTAGGATGACTTTATTGAAGTTTGCATCCGTTCGTCGGGCCAAGAAACGATATAACTGGTTATAAAAAGAATGTAAGCTGTAAGTTTACTGAGGTAATGATGCTTGAAGCAGACCTTGACGAGAAGGAGTAAATAAGGGTCCTCCGACTCTGGAGCTGTACGAGCTCCTTTTTTAACGTGATGCTTCACAATATCGATACCCTATATAGTTATCAGAAATTAGCTACGTTGAATCGGCAAGGTCAAACGAGATACTTGCCATCGTCGGTGGTGGTCAAACTAAGGTTCAGTTTTGGCTTCGAGGCACCACAAGCCAAATATTTGTACACTTTTCTGGACCCCAACCTCCCCCGTGTTGTTGAGCTGTTTCGACAGCTAAAAAAAGTTTTCTAACTGTAAGGATAATAATTTAAGCATATTGTTTGCTCTGAACGATCTATAGCAATGGCAGATCCCTACGACGACTCTCCTAGCGGTCAGGCTCAGGGCGCAGGCTCCACACAAGACATGAAAGAGAGTTCTCGAGGCCGCTCACGTTCTCGTAGCCCGGTCCGTAACGGTGGTGGAAGCTCCTCCTATCGTAGCCCGGGGCGTCGCTCTCCTGGCTATCGCAGACGCTCACCACCTCCACGAAAACCGAACCATGCACCTGCAGTACGTGTCTTTTAAGCATATGGCAACGTTTATCAACAACTCCGCTGATATAAGGTCGGGCGTCAGAATCCCAAGCCTTGCAGCGTGCTAGGTGTCTTTGGGCTCAGCATTCGCACACAAGAACGTGACCTTGAAGAAGAATTTGGACGCTTTGGTCATGTCGACAAAGTCACTATTGTTTACGATCAGCGGGTCAGTACCCAGCAAGTCCAAGGTTAAAAATATGCTGACACCTGGCAAGACTGACCGCTCCCGTGGGTTCGGATTTATTGTTATGAGCACGGTTGAGGAAGCAACACGATGCGTTTCAGAACTTAACGGAGTAGTAAGTACCTCTCTGCTTTTGTTGATCACTTTCTAACTTTGTTACAGGAGCTAAATGGTCGTCGCATCCGCGTTGATTACTCTGTTACCGAACGGCCCCATGCACCTACTCCTGGCGAGTATATGGGACTTCGTCGCTCCGACTATGGCCGGAGGGACAGTCGCGACTATCGCAGAGATGATCGAAGGTATGACCGTGACCGTGATCGTGACCGTGAACGTGACCGCGACCGTGACCGTGACCGTGAACGCGATCGTGATCGTGATCGTGACTATGACAGATATGAAAGGCGCGATGACAGAGACCGCGACTATCGTGACTCTACTAGGGAATACAAACGTTCTCCGCCCCGCCGTTTCTCCCCTCGTAGAAGGAGCGCTTCACGCAGCCCTCGTGCCGCCAGTCCTAGCCGATACGAGCATGCAGGAGAGGGACCTCGCTGGTAGACTAGTTTGTAGGAGGATTCATTAGCATCGACCGTTTTTAGGTCCTAGCTTGCGCAGGAGGTCAATTACGAAGAGACAGAACATTCAATAGTTTCAAAGTCGGCTTGAAGAACCTTCAGCTGCAATTTCTCAATATGGTTTCCTTTTCTTGTCCACGTCAAAACGACGAATGTCTTCAAAGATTAATCTCAGCGTTCAAATGTGACCGTCAAGGTTTTCGTATAATTGCGTTCAATGTATATGCATCAAAAACCAAGCTCATCTCAAGTGTGAAGATCAACTCTACTGTAATACTGATCCCAAGGTGAGCAGGATCATTATGTGGACAACTATCCCTTTTCCTCCCATACACTTGCATATCCCTGTAAAATGTCAGTTTTTCTTCTTGTAAATAGATATTCTGAATGCTAGCGACTCTTGCATCTTGTGACTTTTTTCGAATGGGATCACCTGATTTTCCGGCTCACCACCCGAGCCATGGGATATGTGCTTGCTAGAAGCTGCCCCAAGCTTGTCGTCGACCATTGTTGGGGCCCAGCACACCCATGAACTATCTACGAGGGTCGATCTCAGCAGCTTACCAGTACTATAAGGAATTACCTCCAATCAATCCTTCGACACTCACCGGTGCCATTGACGTTATTGTCATTCAGCGAAAGGATGAGACCGGCAATATCGAGCTCGCATGCACTCCTTTCCATGTCCGTTTTGGTAAATGGCAAGTTCTAAGACCTAGTGACAAGAAGGTGAGCTAATACATGGCCTTTGGCCCACTCGAGTTATTTATGGGGTGCTGAGACAACTGGGACAGGTCAACGTTTTGGTCAATGGACGCGCCATTCCATTTAATATGAAAATAGGAGAAGCTGGGGAAGCATTCTTCGTGTTTGAGACTGAGGAAGACGTACCAGAGGATCTCATCACTAGCCCCATCCTTCAAGCTACCAATCCAACTGAGCTGAGTGGCGCCGTTCAAAAGACGGGCAGATTCGGTGCGAAGGAACCAAGCATAGGAGGGAATGATGCAGATACCAAGGAATTAGTTGGTGGTATGGAGGAACAGACAGAGAAACAGGCTAAAGACGTTCGTATGCGCTAGGAAAACACGAGTGGATGATTGTTAACAAAATCATTACAGGAGCCGGTACCAGAGCCGGATTTCTTCGATCTAGATGCTACATCTACAGAGCAATCCGAACAGCACGACATTCCACCATTAACGAAACTGCCGCCCTCCACGTATGGCCTTCCGTCCTCTCAGCCCAGTACATCATTACCTCATCCCAACGATACAACCGCTTCAGCTAGTCACATCAAAGTTCCATTGAATAATGTCAAAGATCTCGCTGAATCTGCTGCTCGACTAGCCAAGGAAGAGGAAAAGGAACGAATTGGCCTTTTGCATGACAAGCTCACGGCCACCCAAAACATCCTAGGCAACGACATGAGATTCCCCTCCGATGACTCCAAATCACAGCCAGGAGACGAAGCTCTCCCCAAGCATAAAAAGAGCGGCTCGCCACCTCCCGTCGCATATTTACATGATGCAGTCATCGATATGGCAGGGTACCATTCAAAGGAAGCTTCAG